TCTACAAATTTAGTTTAGACTCCGTCGGCTAATTTTGATTTTATTTTGTATTATTTATTTTTAGTAGGCCGGGACAGGAAAACTTCGTTATAAAATCATAACTTCTTTATCCGACGTCCGTTTTCGCCTATCTTTTCATCGTTTCACTACAATTAACGAGATCTTCGATTCTCGTTTAAATTGTTTTGGCTAAAAACCGCTCGATCTCAAATCGAGTATTCGAGCCGCATACCGCTAAGTTGAAACTTAGAAAAATCATAACTTCTTCATACGAAGTCAGATTTGGACGTTCTTTTTATGCACGCTCATGGTTTAACGAACTCTACGACTTTCGTTTAGATTGCTAAGGCTAAATATCACTCTAACGTAAATTCACTTTTTACGTCATTCAGCGTCGTGTCGGTTCTGTCGCGAAACTTCGATATGTCATAACTTCTTCGTTATAACTCGGATTTCGGCGTTCTTTATATGCACGGAAACCTTGTAACATATACTATAACTTAGTTAAGATTATTCATTCTAGATAATCTTTCATCAAAAATTCATTTTTGACGCCTATCGTATCTAAATTGACTAGCCCGGATCTACGGGCGTTACAATATATTATTGATCCAAAATCATATGATTCAAAAAATGATTTGATTCAAAATACTATAATTCAAAATAATTTGATTCAAAATTTTATGATCTAAAAATAATATGATTCAAAAAATGTATAAACGGAAAATAATGTGATTTTTAATATTCTTTTTATTTAAAATTTTATAATTCTTAAACATTAAAAACTCAAACCGATATTTAATTAAAAAAAATCAAAATATAAAAAAATCAAAAAATAAAAACAAAAATAAAGAAAAACACTAGTACCTTCAAGTATGTAGTAAATATAATAAAAATAGAAAAAAAAACAAATAATAATTAAAAAACAAAAAACGAAAAAAACGAAAAAAAATAAAAAATGAAAAAAGAAATATTGAAAACATTAAAACCGAGTATCTGTTAAAATTTTCTTTTTTGAATTTTGTTGTTTAACCAAAAACAAAAAAATAAATAAATAAACAAATAAAAATAAATGATAATAAACAAAAATAAATAATAACTCACTTAAATGACATTCCCCGCACATTATTAAATTGTCGAGTCCGTATTAGTTTCCATGGACGTGGGTCACATGCGAACACACCACATTCAAGTATTTGCGTTTGATGTTTGTGCCCTTGACGAAATGGGTGGTAGAGAATCGTACTCGCAATCATCACCATTTTTTTGAGTCCTAACCAGAACCGTACCATATATATATATATATATATATATATATATATATATATATATATATATATATATATATATATATATATGTGAGTAAGATCAAATGAGAACACCTAAAAGGTTGAGAACGTGTGAATCACAACCTTATAAATAATTAAATCTATGACTATTATCAAGTGGACCATTTATGAATTTTTATAAAACTGATGTGCTAAATATGTAACTTTGAAATGGCAAGAAGGATACAATAGGAAATCCATATAATTTAATTAATTAGAAATTCCTATAATTTCTCTCTTTCTCTCTCTCTCTCTCTCTCTCTCTATATATATATATATATATATATATATATATATATATATATATATCTACTCAACTAGAAAACCCTAATCTAATTATTTTGAAAAAACCGGCCGTACACCCCCACCTTCTTCACCACTGTTTTCGTTCATCATCTTCTGCCATCCTCCATCGTCGACCATCACACAATTAAAATCCAGGATAAAACAACAAAACACTAATTGCGTTTTGGGTAGGTGTGTGTGGTCTTAAAAATCAAAAGAGATGAGGATCTGAGACGAGGAGACGGGAGTGGATTCGAAGCATGAAACACAATTTGAGGTAATTTGGTTGAAGGAAATCGAGATACAGAGAGAATAAATCGAACACACATGGGTTCTCAATCTCCCTGTGTTGTTGTGTGGCCATGAGAACAAAAATAAGAGCAGGGTAGTCGCCAATGGCGGCAACACTAACCATCAGAGAGGGAAACGACGGAGCTCAACCGGAGGTAGCCGGAAAAAGGTACGAGTTAAATCAATTTCGTATTTTTGTTGTCCAAGTTCATAATGTCGATTCATATTAAGCCCTCTTAAAATTTCCTTGATTGTCATTTTAACATAAATTCAATTAATAAGCTTCGTTTCGATCCACCAAGTCAACAAAAAAATTAATTGAAATTGATGATTGCCTTTGTTGGCGTTGTGTGGGTTGAATTTTGAGATGCGGCAACAACAAAAATTAACAATTGGAGCATTTTTTTTGTTGCGTTTCCAGAATTACCTTCTTAAGATTATCAATTGCAATCGATAATTAATTGAAATTCAGGATTATTTGTCTTTGTTGGCGTTGTGTGGTGTGAATTTTGAAACCAACGATTCAATTTTGATTTACAAATGTATTAATTGTCGCTATAGTCTATTTGTAGTGGAGCGATTCAGTCAAGAACATGGAGTCGAGGTCTAATTACATCCAAATTCTATTATATTCAATTTTTGGATGTTTAGATTTTTTAAGGTTAGTTGATTATACTTTTATCTTGGTGGATTTTGATTTTGGAATCCCAGGAACAATTTGAAGAGTAAAAACAAAACACATTCTTGACAGGGTGGCTGGGAAAGTTTGTGAATTGCCAATTTTCTCAAAACATCATTGATTTGTTTGCAGGTCATCACTGTGGTAGATACTCTAGAGTTTATCATTGATTGTTTTTGTATCTTCAAGTGATTCGTTCTACAAGTTGCGTGGGAAAGTTTGTGCTATGCCACTGTTACATTACACATACAAAAGGAAGGGTAAAAAGAAAAATGAAGGGTAAAAAGGGAAAATAGTAATTACCAATGAGCAAGAGGGGCAACATTAGATTTGTGTTACTTCTAGCTTTGTATAAGGACTATCTTTGGTTGGGGAGGCATATTTGACATCGGGTTCATTGGCTTTGTATCTGGGACGATTGAGCTATTTGATGAAATGTGTGAGAGAGGTATTCATTTGTGAATAGTAGGGTATTCATTTGTTAATAACAATGTATTCATTTGTAAATATCAATGTAATCATGTGTGAATGAGTGTATTTATTTATGATTAGATGTATTCTTTTATTTATTTATGAATACCAGGGTATTTATTTGTTAATAACAATGTATTCATTTGTAAACAAGAGTATAATCATATGTGAATAAGTGTATTTATTTATGATCAAAGCTATTCTTTTATGAAGAAATGATAATTTTTACACCCTTTTATTTTCGGTTGATTAAAAGAAAGGAATTGGATTACTTGTAAATTAATATATATTCATTTGTGATTGTAGTAGTATTAGTTTTTTTGAAAAAAAAAATCGTTTATGAATACAAATGTATTGATTAGGGGTTGGATTTCTATTAATTTTTTCGGAAAAAAAAAAACGTGAAATAGGAGGAAAAAATTATTTTTTAAGAAAAAAAAATTAAATTTTTTAGTCTAAAATTCTTTTTTTGATAAAAATGTTATTTATATTTCATTAATAAGAAAAATAAAAAATCAAATATTTCCTTCTTTTTTGGTAACTGATCCTAAATTTAAAGAAATTTGATTGATTTTATTTTAACTAAAATATACAATTACTAATATGCCCTTATATATTGATTGGTTCAGAACTATTCTCGCGTTCTCAACCTTTTAGGTGTTCTCATTTGATCTTTTTCATATATATATATATATATATATATATATATATATATATATATATATATATATATATATATATATATATATATATATATAAAATCCAGATATATGTTATTATTATAATTCGTTGATTATGTATTAAATACAATAGTGTGATTATTCTGAAGTGTTATGTCCAAAATTTGTAGCTTGTTATCGGAGAATTACAAGTTAATCTTAATGTTTGAACGTTATACTTGAAAATTGATATTGGTCAATACAAGGTAATGACTGACTTAATGTTTGAATGTTATATTTGTATATTATTAAGAAATATTAATTGATAATGGGTATTTAGAAGCTCTAGAGTAGTATAGTTATGGAAATTACTAGAATTATTAGTTTATGATCATAGCCATGGCGGCTATAATATCATAAGTGGAGAAATGCAAGATAATTACAGACTTAGTGTTTGTAACTCTATGTTTGAAAAATTGTTGTAGAAAAATGATGGTAGTTTTGGTGACTATAACTAATATCATTCTTGAATGAATTAGTCGTTTATGTAATATTAATTACTAGTAGTGGAGCTTATAGATATTAATAATAGCTAACACGACTTTAAGTCTACTATGCATTTTGAGTAAGTGAAATGTTTGATAGCATGGTTAGTAACATTGTATGTCTATTAAGTAGCATAATTCCGGTGTACCGTTAGTGTACATATATGTGCTAGACTAAAGTAGTTTTATTGGTCGTAAGGTAATGTTATAAGGTTGTATATCATTGATGAAATTGTAACAATAACGACATTGGATTGTAAGATCTTCTTGATAACTAATTGTACTACTTTGTGATACGATGTACACCGAATTTGTAATGATTCGCGTTTTATAAGTGAATTTTTTTTGGATGTACTCTGTGTTAAAAATCTAGGCCTTACTGACAAACAATTGTGATGATCCGACAGTAATGGAGAGAGAGAGAGAGTATGGTGGTGGGTTAGTAGAAGGTAAATATTTATTTTTTGTTTTTCTTTTAGTTAGAAAATATTAAAGTAAATAAAAATAAAATACCGATGGCAACCTTTAAAATATTTCAACCACATAACATATTTACAAAATATAAACTTTAACCCGAAACCTGATATAAAATCAACAAAAATAGACTGATTAACACTAATTAAACCGATAAGTTAGGATGAAACTTTATAAATCCATTTAATGTTTTGACCCGACCCACACCAACGTTTGTGGGTTTAGTCTTATCCCAAAATAATATGTGGTGTTGTCATTAAAAAAGAACAATATTTCTTTTTCAAAAGAGGGTGAAAATGTAAGATAAACATGGAAGTTACTTTTATTGATATTTTCCGGTGGACTGAACATGAAATCATTTCACTATTGGTCGTTGGTGTTGTCACCGTTCACACTATAAATTTATCTCGTCTCCGTTAAACGATTAAACCTCACCGGAGAACTCCTAGTCAGTTCCGATGGCACAGCTGTTGAGGAGGGTTTGGGAATCGGTTTCCAGTGGTTGGAATTCGAGTGATTCTTCTTCAAACTCGCTATACAATTTGGACTACAGCCCGGTTCATGGAACCCTATCCGATCAGATTATCATCTGTTCCTCATCCACTGGGGCATTTGATCAGTTGCCTCTAGATATATTTATGCAAATACTCAAGCTTCTCGGACCAAAAGAGGCTGCTAGACTCACATGTGTTTGCAAATCGTGGAAATTCATAGTTTCAGATAACATGTTATGGATATTCTTTCTTCAGAACCAACAGGATCCCTGGGACTCAATTTTCTTTGCGGAAACTAACTTACGATCTGGTTTTCCTCTCCGGTAGGTTTTCATTTTGTTAATTTTCAGCCTTATTGGATGTTTAACGAGTGAATTTTGAGTTTTATGAACTATTTATGGTGATTTGAGAGGAATTTTCAATTCAATCATACGAGACTGAAATACTTGAATTGTGATTGTAGAACGTATCCTCGTCAGATGCAATCATTTATGCATATTTATGGTGAACGAGCAAAAGTTCCTGGAGCTATCATCGTTGATGGTATGCGTACTATTTTCTTCCCAATCCTTCATTCCAACTTTCTTCTTCTTCTTCTTCTTCTTCTTTTTTGTTTTCTCCATAGTTCTTATAAAGGTGACGAAATAAACAGGTCTGAAATCTGCATTTGATTTCATTACATCTACGATTATTACCAAGTGATTTCTATTGCCTTGATGTTCATTGCCAATAATTTGGTCTTTTCTATCTTTTACCGAAGGTGGTGCTGGTTATTGCAAATTTGGTTGGAGCAAGTATGATTCTCCATCAGGGCGTTCAGCAACATTTGTGGTAAGTAATTGCTTTAACGGATGATGATATAAACATGCAACTTCATTCGAATTTGCATTTTCTATTGCACTTCAGTTACTGTTCTAAAACTTTGACTTCATGTGTAGGAATTTGGTAACATTGAGTCTCCATTGTACGCTAGGCTTCGTCATTTTTTTGCAACAATTTATAGCAGGTGTCTCATTGTTGATTACATTTACAAACATCTCCTTCATCTGATTATGCAATATGTTTTGTAGTTATAACTTGTCACACATGCCGAATACACATGAAAAATTTCTTGTAGAGTAACAAATTTAAGTGCCTTTTGTTTTCCTTTCATTCAAATCTGAAATATTTATAGTATTCACAACTTGAATCACATATTCATATGCAGGATGCGTGTTAAGTCATCTATGCATCCAGTCATTATCTCAATTCCAATCTCCCATTATGATGGTATTCTCTCAATAGTGTCCCAAAAACCTGTATAATGATGCTCCATTTTCATTAATCTTCATTTACATGATGCTATGAATTATGATCATGAATTGTGATTTTGTTTGATGCAATTTCTTTAAATTTGCTTCAGATACTGGTGCTGATAAAGCTTTTAGACGCCAACTCAAAGAAGCAATTTACTCAGCATTGTTTGGAATGAAGGTTCCTTCTGTGTGTGCAGTCAGTCAGGTACTTATTGTCTGTTAGTCCCCTAAACAAGGGTAAGATGGTCATTTACTCAATGAGGTTAATATGCAGGCAACTTTAGCTTTGTTTTCAGCAAGAAGAACATCTGGAATTCTTGTAAATATCGGTTTCCATCAAACATCTGTTGTCCCAAGTATGTTAGTCTTTCATCCTCTTACAATCATTAAGTTAATGTTTACAATGATGGAATCAACAACGGAATGGAATTGCTGATTCCATTTGTGTCATTTCCAGTTTTACATGGTAAAGTAATGCATAAAGTGGGTGTTGTATCTACGGGTGTTGGAGGCTTAAAGCTTACTGAATACCTTAAAGAGCAACTTCGTCTAAGAAATCTACATGTTTCTTCATTATACACTGTTCGCTCATTGAAAGAGGTATAAAATATATATATATTTTTTTCATATATTTTTTTTGTTAATAATGTTTTCTTGTTGTAGAATCTTTGCTATGTTGCTTTTGACTATGAGAACGAATTAAAGAAGGATAATACAAAAGCATCATACAAAGTTGCTTCTGAGGGATTCTTTACTCTTGAGAAAGAACGTTTCCAAACAGGAGAGATTCTCTTTCAGCCACATATTGCAGGATTAATGTAATCATTTATCCACTTTAATTAAATATCTATAAACTTATGCCTTTGAATTACTTTTATATAATTTCCAATTTTACCCTTTTAGAAATGCAATGGGTCTGCATCAGGCAGTGGCAAATTGCATTGAGCGTTGCCATGCTGCCAAAATGAGAACCGATCACACTTGGTTCAAGACAGTTGTGTTGGCTGGAGGCACTGCATGTTTACCAGGTTTACAAGGTATAAATTAATTTATAAATATAAATACTTTTAATTTTTAATATAAATATTAATTTATAAATCCTCCATGTTTTAAATAATTGTAGAAAGATTAGAAAAGGAAGTACATGATCTTCTACCTCCCTCCATATCCAATGGAATTCGTGTCATCACTTCCCCTTATGGTGCTGATTCTGCATGGTATGGAGCAAAGCTTCTCAGCAATGTAAACATCCTAAACCCTAATTTTTTTATTTTTATTTTTATATTTCTTTTATGAAACTAAAAAAAAAAGTCTTTGCAGTTGAGCACATTTCCAAATTCATGGTGCATCACAGAGGAGACTCAGTCAAAGTCAAAAAGATCCCTCATATGGTGAAAACTTATATGCTACAAATAAGAGTGTTGTTGTTGTTGTTGTTATTGTTGTAATCTATATAATTATGTAATAATAATAATATTTCAGTATTTGTAAAATAAGACACGAAATATTATTTATAAGAGTTGTTGTATTGAAACTCACGGGAGAAACATGATTAGGAATAATTGTGAAACTAGAATTAGCAGTAGTGAGAAGTGATCGGAGATGTTGTTGGAAGTAGAATCTTGTGGTGGAACTGCGTCGCAGACAAGCCCAGCTTTGTTGTCGTGACATAAGTTGGAGAAAATGCCAGGTGGATAGCTTCCATAGAGGTTGATGTAGCTGAACATTTGTGTTGAACATTGGTTTGATAAGTCGTTTAATTCATCAGCGTAAGGGCAAGCGAAGTCTTTGAAAGCTTGACAGCAGAGATTTGGGGGGTATTTTGGTCCTTTGCAACGGCTGGTGATGATTGTGTAGTTCATGGTCTCGAAGCTTAATGGGCATGCTGCACATTCAAATAATGAAATTTAAAACCTAAAAAATTGTTTGAGTAGAAGCAAATGGATAAGTGTTATTGGTTGTAATTTTATGAAATTAGGGCATGGATTTATGAATGAAATTGATGATAGTGAATTGGGAGAAATGAGGGAGACGTTTCTTATCCTGGAGGAGATTTCGTCCGATTGAAGGTTGAGAAGGGAAGGCGTTATCTGTTTAGAGATAAGAAATACGATAAGAATGTGAGGAAATCCATGGAAAACCCTAAAAACTTAGAACAAACCTGAAAGGGAAAATGGTAAGAGTAGAAGTGGCAGCAGAAAGCAGAAATTTGCGATCGTCATAGCAGATTGTTTTTTTTTTTTTTTGATGAGACTCTTTAAGATTTTAGAAAAGAAAAGGGTTTAACCTATAAAACTGAAAAATGCGATTTTTTTTTTTTTTTGCCATTTTTATATGCTACTGTTTATATTTTTACTTAATTTTTGCCATTTTTATATGCTACAGTATGTTTACATTTTTATATGCGATTTTTTTGCCATTTTTATATGTTTATATCATTAGATAATTTTCTTTTTAAATCTTTTAAATTTTTACTTAATTTTTATTTTATTTTTTACACATGTATTCTTGCAGAAAAAATACGTGTATGAATATGAACAAATGTTTAATTAAACATGGTATATAAGTTACTTTTAAACATTATTTATTTATTATTTATTTATATACGAGTTTATATATATATATATATATATATATATATATATATATATATATATATATATATATATATATACGGATTAAAATGTAAATATTTATTTTTTAGGGTTTTTATATGTATATATTTTTAGAAGTATAAATATGTGTTTTTATGTTTTTTTAGAAATTACAAATACATGTTATATATATATATATATATATATATATATATATATATATATATATATATATATATATATATATATATATATATATTATCAGAAAGTTCTAGAAAACGAAATCTATATGGATGTTGGCCTGATTTCCATAATTGTTCCTCTTCCTGACACTGTCACAATCCCTGCAACCTGGTTCGGTTTGCCTCGAAAACAGATCTCCTCAACTTAGGTGAAAACCCGTCGTATTATCCAGGTATATACATAAAAGATGTAATATTAATATTACTTCCAGTTTTAACTACATTCTATTTGAACTAACAGATTTCATTGGCGTGCTAAAAAAAATGAGAAATTGCACAAAGCGTAATGGAGAAGAATCCGTTCTTCTAATTCTTGCAGACGAAAGGTTGACAACATTTAACAAAGCCCAGTCTTTCTTATGATTACTTTTACTTTTTTTAATGTTTACTATGTATATAAAATTCAGTGGTGATGAAATAGCGATCAGTTTATGGAAAGAGTGTATTGATGTTCGTGAGAAATTCAGACCTGAAGAGTTGGCAACCCCTCATGCGACAACAGTTGTTGCCATTACAAATATAAAGCCTTCATCAATACACATAGCAGGTACTTTAAGGTTCGGATCATCACCTGCCACACACGTATATGTCAATCCCCCCATCCAGGAGACAACACTTCTAATCCACAGGTCTGTTATACTTTACCAAAGATAAGGTAGATTATTATATATTAATATCATACATTCACAACTCAAATCCGGTTGTAGCTTCACTGGCCCTACACCCCCAACTTCCACAACATCTGGACCATTAACAACACTGCATGAGCTAAACAGCAAGATTCATAGTGAACTGGTGGTATGTTATCTACCTCTATAACAACCTTCTAACATACTATTACCAAAACTACAATGATATAAGAATCTATAAATACAGGATAAAACATTCAATGTACAAGCTACACTGACAACAATCACATTCAAAGACTGCTGGTTCCAAGTACTATGCACAACTTGCAAAGATTCGATTTTCAGGAAAAGCAATTACTGGAGTTGCAGTGCTCATGGAAAAACAGCCTCACCCATATTCCTGTAAATATTGCTATGTCCCAGAAATGTAATACCAGCAAAAGTTATTTATGCTAAGTTTTATTAACACATAATAACCCCATACAGGTATAAACTAATTACAACTCTGACGGACCCAACGGGCTCTCTAACTACAATCATGACCGATGGCGCGGCTCAAAAACTAATTGGTGCTACACCAGAAAAACTAATGGCTGATGATCATGAAAACAATAAAAAGCTCCCACCAACACTTATCAATGATCACGAGGGCACATCAAAGACTATGTCAATACAAATGCTAAAAGGCTCTACAACTGAAAACATTCGTTTCATAATCGTTGACATACATGAAGTAACCATGGTTAATCAGTCAGTCGCACCGGTCACACCAACACAAGTTTCAACAACTACAACGACAGCAACACCAATCACTCCAGCAGACCTTCAAGGTTCCGCAAATGTTGAAATCAATCCTATACTTGGAATGGCATCTACAACATCACAAACATCACACACAGCAAGAACATTGACATACGACACCGCTGGTACTTACATATCCACTTTACTTGGATAAAAAATGTCAATTTATAACTCAGTTTTTATTACCATACAGCTGAATCTGTACTAAAGAAACAACCGAAGCGAGGACGTAGAGCAGAGTAAACACCAACCTCACCTTATGTTGTCATCCCAAATTTCTGCTTATGTACCATCCGATATAAAACGCAGTAGGTTATATGTAAACCACTTTATTACATGTTTGTATTTTCCAATCCTTTTTGTGGATTGATCCAAGCATAAAGGAGATATTGTCTTGCATGGAGAGGTCCTCAACTTTGGCTTCTTCAAGTATGTTTTTTAAAATTTCATAATTGTCGTTATTGTACTATGTTTTGTCTTCTGTGGTAAATCTTTCTTCAATTCTGGTTTGGACTGCTTCCATGAAATCTCCTACATCGTGGAGGTAGGCGATAAGCGCCTACATGACGTTTTCGACTTCTTTGTTTTTCATTTTCTTGGTTTTTTGGCTGGGATTGGTATTTTCTTGTGAACATGTGCTGGGGGATTGGGTATTTTCTTATATAGTATTTTAAGTTGGGAGGTGGGTTTTGATAATTGACGTGGAGGTATGTATCGGTTTGTGAGTGTCATTAAATTGTTGTAGAATAAATTAGCTATGCTGTGTAAGTCTATTTGGATGATGGCGTGACTCTTTCTGATGGTTGTAGCAATACTTTGTATGGTAGGCTATGATGGTGGGTGTATTAGTTTGGGGGTAAAATATGTTTATTTTACCTTTATAATTTTACCGTAATTTTGTAAGAATCGTGTGAGTGTTTTTGGTGCAATATTTTTTACAACAAATACTCACAGAAAATAATAATTTTTTCACCCAATTCTGGTTTGGACTGCTTCCATGAAATCTCCTACATCGCGGAGGTAGGCGATAAGCGCCTACATGACGTTTTCGACTTCTTTGTTTTTCATTTTCTTGGTTTTTTGGCTGGGATTGGTATTTTCTTGTGAACATGTGCTGGGGGATTGGGTATTTTCTTATATAGTATTTTAAGTTGGGAGGTGGGTTTTGATAATTGACGTGGAGGTATGTATCGGTTTGTGAGTGTCATTAAATTGTTGTAGAATAAATTAGCTATGTTGTGTAAGTCTATTTGGATGATGGCGTGGCTCTTTCTGATGGTTGTAGCAATACTTTGTATGGTGGGCTATGATGGTGGGTGTATTAGTTTGGGGGTAAAATATGTTTATTTTACCTTTATAATTTTACCGTAATTTTGTAAGAATCGTGTGAGTGTTTTTGGTGCAATATTTTTTACAACAAATACTCACAGAAAATAATAATTTTTTCAATCAAATCGGGTGTAAAAACTTCATAATCTGCAAATAATATAATTATTATTAAATAGTTTTGGAGTAAGGGTTACATGTTGATTTTTAGTTAAAAGTAGTTTTCTAAGTAGGGGTAAAACAGTCATATGTGTTGTAATTTTTTTAATAATTTTTTCAATCAAATCGGGTGTAAAAACTTCATAATCTGCAAATAATATAACTATTATTAAGTAGTTTTGGAGTAAGGGTTACATGTTGATTTTTAGTTAAAATTAGTTTTCTGAGTAGGGGTAAAACAGTCATATGTTGTAATTTTTTTTAAGAACACATAGTCACACAACAAATTATTGTAGTTTCTTTTGTAAAAAATGTTACAAAGAAAACTTACTCAAACATTACAAAGAAATAAAAAATGTTAAAAATCATATTGTTATAAAGTACAATGCTATTTTTTTTGCATATTTTCTAAAGTTTTATTGTTAAATTTGATCTTTTTATAAAAAGACCAAAATGACCTTTATCCAAAAAAAAAAAAAAAAAAAACTTTTCTTATCTTTTTAACTACGCATTTGCACGTATCACATCTAATAATTTTTTTAATCAAATCAGGGCAAAATAGTTTTTAAGGAAATATGTCATTGGAATGAAAATTAGATTTGTTAATAACCTTTTCTTGTATGGCAAAACAGTTACATGTGTTGCAATTTTTATTTTAGAACATGTAGTCACACAGTAAAACATTGTACTTTCCTTTGTAAAAAATGTTAAATCATATTTTTTTTTATAAAGTACAATGTTATTTTCTGTATATTTTATAAATGTGTATTGTAAAATTTTATTTTTCTATAAAACTACCAAAATGCCATTCTTCCATAATATGACCCTGTCTACTATTCTAGAAAACATGTTGTTTGCGTTTTATTAAAGTTAAAAGTAGTTTTCTGAGCAGGGCAAAATAGTCATATCCGTTGCAAATTTTTTTTACAACACATAGTCACATAGCAAAACATTGTATTTTCATTTGTAAAAAATGTTAAAAATCATATTGTTATAAAGTACAATGCTATTTTTTTGCAGATTTTCTAAAGTGTTATTGTTAAATTTGATATTTCTATAAAAAGACCAAAATGCCCTTTATCCAAAAAAAAAAAAAACTTTTCTTATCTTTTTAACCACCCATTTGCACGTATCACATCTAATAATTTTTTTAATCAAATCGGGGCAAAATAGTTCTTAAGGAAATATGTCATTGGAATGAAAATTAGATTTCTTAATAACCTTTTCTTGTATGGCAAAACAGTCGCATGCGTTGCAATTTTTATTTTAGAACACATAGTCACACAGCAAAACATTGTAGTTTCCTTTGTAAAAAATGTTAAATCATATTTTTTTTTATAAAGTACAATGTTATTTTCTGTATATTTTATAAAGTTCTATTGTAAAATTTTATTTTTCTATAAAACGACCAAAATGCCCTTCTTCCATAATATGACCCTGTCTACTATTCTAGAAAACATGTTCTTAATAAAATACGTCACCGAAATGAAATTAAGATTTTTTGCATATTTTATGTAGTGTTATTTTTTGAATATTTTCTAAAGTTTTAATGTTAAATTTCATTTTTATATAAAAAGACCAAAATGCCCTTTATCCAAAATAAAGACGAAAAATAACTTTTTGTGTTATTTTTAACCCACAATTTACACATATCACATTTAATAACTTTTTTAATCAAATCGGGGCAAAACAGTTTTTAAGAATCTGTAAACAGAGATACAAACTTTCCCAAACAACACATACTCATACAACAAAACATTGTACTTTTCCTTGTAAAGAATGTGAAAAATCATATTTTTATAAAGTACAATGTTGTTTTATGGATATTTTCTAAAGTTTTATTGTGTCAACATCGTTTTTCTATAAAAAAAACCTATAATTATTGATTTGTAGTAAATTAATTAACTTTTAAGATTTTCTTTTGCAGACCAATATTTCCGAGTCTAAAGTTAATTGTTCTAAACCGGTAATCACATAATTTGCAAAATAAGTCATTTTTAACTCGATAATCACATGATTTGCAATAACTCATTATTAACTCAAAAGACTTTGCTAACTTGATGTAGAAAAGCACGTATTAGACTGTGATGATGCAGAGATTTGGAACACTATGATGTGAACTTGATCTTTGAAGAAATAGTGATAGCACACGAATTGGAATATAGTCATACATAACTTATAAAAATTATTTTGAAAAGGATATCAAAGTTTAATTTGAAAATATATAGTATTCAAAATATTAGCTATGAATGAAAGGGATTGCCGTGAATTTCAAAGGTAGCATATGATAAGTAAACATTTGTTGTTTTTATTTTAAGTTTTATTTTGTGTGTAAGGATTTTGTAGTGAGGTGAGTATGATTTAATTTTTTTCTTACATGTTGATTATGTCGTAAGTTTTTATTTGTATAAGATGACTAAAAAGATTTTATTTCTGAGTTGATATTGCTTACTTTATGTTTTGTTTGTGAATGATTTATTGTGTGGTAGGAATGGCGTTTTTTTTAACGATATTACTTTCTTTTGGAATATTTAATATTACTTTTATACAAAAGGTTCATTACTTTGTGGAGTATGTGTTTACAATCCATAGTGCAAAATGACGGTTACATGTTTGTAATCCTGATAGAGTACAGTTGTTAGAGGGGTAAGTGGTTTACATATAACCTACTGCCTTTTATATCGGATGGTACATAAGCAGAAATTTGGGATGACAACATAAGGTGAGGTTGGTGTTTACTCTGCTCTACGTCCTCGCTTCGGTTGTTTCTTCAGTACAGATTCAGCTGTATGGTAATAAAAACTGAGTTATAAATTGACATTTTTTATCCAAGTAAAGTGGATATGTAAGTACCAGCGGTGTCGTATGTCAATGTTCTTGCTGTGTGTGATGTTTGTGATGTTGTAGATGCCATTCCAAGTATAGGATTGATTTCAACATTTGCGGAACCTTGAAGGTCTGCTGGAGTGATTGGTGTTGCTGTCGTTGTAGTTGTTGAAACTTGTGTTGGTGTGACCGGTGCGACTGACTGATTAACCATGGTTACTTCATGTATGTCAACGATTATGAAACGAATGTTTTAAGTTGTAGAGCCTTTTAGCATTTGTATTGACATAGTCTTTGATGTGCCCTCGTGATCATTGATAAGTGTTGGTGGGAGCTTTTTATTGTTTTCATGATCATCAGCCATTAGTTTTTCTGGTGTAGCACCAATTAGTTTTTGAGCCGCGCCATCGGTCATGATTGTAGTTAGAGAGCCCGTTGGGTCCGTCAGAGTTGTAATTAGTTTATACCTGTATGGGGTTATTATGTGTTAATAAAACATAGCATAAATAACTTTTGCTGGTATTACATTTCTGGGACATAGTGATATTTACAGGAATATGGGTGAGGCTGTTTTTCCATGAGCACTGCAACTCCAGTAATTGCTTTTCCTGAAAATCGGATCTTTGCAAGTTGTGCATAGTACTTGGAACCAGCAGTCTTTGAATGTGATTGTTGTCAGTGTAGCTTGTACATTGAATGTTTTATCCTGTATTTATAGATTCTTATATCATTGTAGTTTTGGTAATAGTATGTCAGAAGGTTGTTATAGAGGTAGATAACATACCACCAGTTCACTATGAATCTTGCTGTTTAGCTCATGCAGTGTTGTTAATGGTCCAGATGTTGTGGAAGTTGGGGGTGTAGGGCCAGTGAAGCTACAACCGGATTTGAGTTGTGAATGTATGATATTAATATATAATAATCTACCTTATCTTTGGTAAAGTATAACAGACCTGTGGATTAGAAGTGTTGTCTCTGGATGGGGGATTGACATATACGTGTGGCAGGTGATGATCCGAACCTTAAAGTACCTGCTATGTGTATTGATGAAGGCTTTATATTTGTAATGGCAACAACTGTTGTCGCAGGAGGGGTTGCCAACTCTTCAGGTCTGAATTTCTCACGAACATCAATACACTCTTTCCATAAACTGATCGCTATTTCATCACCACTGAATTTTATATACATAGTAAACATTAAAAAAAGTAAAAGTAATCATAAGAAAGACTGGGCTTTGTTAAATGTTGTCAACCTTTCGTCTGCAAGAATTAGAAGAACGAATTCTTCTCCATTACGCTTTGTGCAATTTCTCATTTTTTTTAGCACGCCAATGAAATCTGTTAGTTCAAATAGAATGTAGTTAAAACTGGAAGTAATATTAATATTACATCTTTTATGTATATACCTGGATAATACGACGGGTTTTCACCTAAGTTGAGGAGATCTGTTTTCGAGGCAAACCGGAACCAGGTTGCAGGGATTGTGACAGTGTCAGGAAGAGGAACAATTATGGAAATCAGGCCAACATCCATATAGATTTCGTTTTCTAGAACTTTCTGATACTCGTCTAAATAGGGACAGGTGTACTCTGATATGGAAAATTGATTCTATGTACCCCTGATTTGTTCTTTGTCCCAGAATCTGTATAGCATCTCCCTAATGTATTGAAATACAGTTAACTGTTAATAACGGTCAGTAATCATAGTGTATTTTTTTAATGAGGTTTGATTTGCTTATGTATTTGTCCACACCGAGATACCATGTTTCATGCCGACGGTACTGTGGTTTCCATTTGCGCAGAATTCGCACCTGTAATGCTCCTCCTTCGCATGCATACTTCAGGTCAGATATGTTAGTCATGTCTCTGTTAATTCAAGCAATAAAGGATGGGTTAGTGATTATATATAATGATATTAATGTAAAGAGGCACAATACAAGTAAAAGTGAATTTTTAGGGAAAGAGTACATAGGTAGATAGTAATGGAATTATCAACCTCATTACAGTTAACTTTGGATAAGAAATCTTTAAAAACGACATTTTTTGTTTGATTATGAGGTGTACATTCGTCATTGTTTATCAGGATTTTCAGGGATGTAGGTGATGTCGCTCTTGATAATGCAACATAAAGTTGACCATGTGTAAATACGGGCTGTGGCAAATAGATGCCAATCCTTTTTAGTGACTGCCCTTGGCTTTTGTTTATTGTCATGGCATAACAAATTTTAATTGGGAACTGTTTACGTTCAAAGGCAAACGGTAGATTAGCAGGTTGTGAACGAATTTAATGCGAGGTATGTATACACGCTTCCCAGTGCACGTTCCTGTTATAATTGTTGCTTCAATTATGGTTGGAAGTAGTTGTGAAACAATTAACCGTGTGCCATTACACAAACCTTCCCTCTGGTTAATGTTTCTCAGCAACATAACAGGAGCTTTTATTTTCAGCTTGAGAGTGTGAGGTGGGATTCCAGCAAAGGTTAGCTGATTTAGATATTCAATGGGATATAAACCCTCTAACTCTGATGTATACTTGCCATTAGGTTGCATAGCGTCTGTACTTTTATAAACCCTTTCATCGGTCTTTACCATTTCCAGAATTATTGCATTTAACTTGTCAGCAGTGTCATTTGTGGGACAAACAATAGCCCTTACAGATAGATCGGATGGTGAGGGATTGTCCAGCAGTCTATTTCCATAGACAAAGAGGATTAGGTTTTTCAAAGACTCACTATCTATTGGTATTAAAGCGAAGGTGGTATTTCTACCCAGGTTGT